CCTCGCATTTATCCAGATTGAACTCCATCTGTCATTTTTGCCCATTGACCCATTTGATCAAGATCCCTTTGTAATTCTAGAAAACCTTCTTCATTTTCTACTATACCACCAATTTTGGTGTCATCCGCGCACTTACTAACCATGCCTTCTATATTCTCATCCAAATCATTTATATAAATGACAAACAAAAGAGGACCCAGAAATGATCCCTTTGGAACACTGCTGGTCACAGGCTTCCAGTCTGAAAAGCAACCCTCCATCTTTACTCTGTCTCTTGTTGTTAAGCCAATTATGTATCCAATTAGCAAGCTCACACTAAATCCAAACTTTTCTAATTAGTCTACCATGCAGAACCTTATTGAAGTCTAAACTAAAGTCCAAGTAAACCATGTCAACTGCTCTGCCTTCATCAATTTTTTTGGTAACTTCCTCAAAAAATTCAATCAAGTTTGTGAGACATGATTTTCCTCTCACAAAACCATGCTGACTATCCCGAATCAATTTTTGCCTCTCTAAATGTTCATAAATCCTACCTTTTAGAATCACCTCCAACAACTTACCCACAACCGAAGTCAGATTCAAACGTCTTTAGTTCCGTGGTTTCTTCTTACAACCTTTCTTAAACAGAGGTACAACATTAGCCATCCTTCAGTCATCAGGCACCTCACCCATAATTATAGATGATGCAAATGTTTCTGCAAGGGGTCTGACAATTTCCTCCTTTACTTCCCACAACATTGTGGGATTCATCAGATCAGATCCCTGTGATTTATCCACCTTTATATTCTCTAAGACATCCAGAATGTCCTCTTCCTGTAATTCTTTCTCAGCGGACTGTTTGCTGGAGTTTGATGAAGTTAGCCTGGGGACACATATTCTCCTAAAGAGCCTTGTCATTCCTTATCCCTATGTTGTGGAGCCTGTAGAGAAAAAGACAAAAGATTGGATAATATAGCACTATCTGTCCCCAAACTTTAATTCAGATGTACCTCTTTCATGAATGGCACTTATTGGTTGTGCGAAGGTTATCTTATGAGATGGTTGAGTCTATCTAGTTTTCTCTTCAGTACAATCGCGGACCCATATTCTCTAGCAATCCCTGAAGTCTACTCCTGAAAAGTCTTGATGACCCTCATGGCAGGCATTCCACCCCTAGTCCGTGATCTCTTATGTTGGTTTTGCACATTCCTCTCCTGCAGAACAACAAATAAATTACGAAACATTCACATGGGTCCGTGAGCACTGTTCCTGCATTCATAGATACAGACAGAGATACAGACAGAGAATCCTCGGGGAGACTGCACTCACAGATGCAGTGTCACACCCAATGAGGCATTGCTAAAATGCAGAGCAGCCTTTTAACTTATCTCAGACATGCCCAGGTTTCAGTTGGTATTACTATGCAACATCGACAGGTGCTCCTTGGTTGAAGATAGTAGAATTTTGTCAAGTGTCTTCCAAATATGATGCCCAGAAATTGGAGTTTGGCAGGTTCTGACAGGAGACATATACATGCACAGGAAAGACAAGTTATGTAATGAGCTAAAAATAACAAAAATTCTGTAAAAGAACCCAACGCTGTTATAAATGGAGCCAATGGTGATACTGGACAAGTCGGATCCCAGAGTGAAACCTAGAAATACTGATCTGAGTTTGTGGATTGCTGCATAAAAAGAGCTCTGACTAATTAAGTTGGCACCTCTAAATTGATTATTGTTGCACCTATTACTTTGTAACATTTATTTATCCGTTAGATAATACATAGTAGGCCTGCAAAATAAACACAGCATTAAACCTAGATCACACTACATCTCACAAAGTCTCACCAGCAGCAGAGTTTTGAATGAATGATCATTATGTGCCTTAGAACACTTTCACTGGCAAATTTTGGACATGAATGACCCAACTTTCAGTTTGCCTGTTGAGTTTGCATGTTTTTCCAGAAGTAAATCTATAATTTTGACATAACAGCTATTTTTTATGTAAATAAACAACCTGAGATTGTCATTAATTTTACACTTTGTACAATTGCCTTCTCCACTGTCAATTCATAGTCATTAACGTTTCAAATTAGCTATTCCAGCTTGTGGGTAATTTCTATAAGCAGTCTGGGCTTCCTTGGAATCAAAGCTCTGACCTTGTCTAAATTATCTATTATAATTATCATTTATATTCAAAGCACTACTATTATTATAATTGTACATTCTTCTTGTAAAGTGGTAAGCATTGTTTGTCAGAAGTATGCTATTCAATGGAAAACAGTACAATCACATTACCATGAGCCCTACCAATCACTTTTGGTGATATCAGATCAGGGATAAACGTTGGCCAACAAAACTGGGAAAACCTTCCTTCATTTTTTTCAAATAGTGACATGGGATTTTTCTCTCCATCAAAGAGGGCAGATGGGACTTCTTTATAAAGTCTCATCTGTTAGAAAGTGTATCTGACAGTAAAGCATTCCCATTGTGCTGCACTGGAATGTCGGCTGTGATTAATATTCAAGTACTGGAATGGTACTTGAACCAATAATACTCTGATACAGAGGTTAGGATTCTGCCACTGTGCAAAAAGGTTAACATGGTAATTTAGCATCTTCACTGTAAAGTATCTATGAAAGTTTGATTCCAAATAAAAATGAGTACAGTGTGTTGATTAAAGGTTTTTATTCTTAAGAGCCTGTCAAATAGACGGTACATCTTAGGTGAAATGGCCTTTTAAATCCCCTTTTCATACTGGAATTATAAATAATATATTAGCTATGCAAATTTTTGTCTCTTTTAAATGTTACAGTCAGTTAAAACTAAATAATGCAATAAGTTTATGCTTTATTTTGTTCATTTTTGAAATATTTGCTGCAAAGCAATAGATTAATTCAGGTGAACAAAAGTTGGGTTTTTTTCCTGATTTGTGGCTTTTATCAACATTCAAATTTGAAATCTTTCAATGTCTGTTCATCATCCACTTAAGTAACATGAAAGCTTTAACCTTTTTGCACAGTGGCAGAATCCTAACCTCTGTATCAGAGTATTATTGGTTCAAGTACCATTCCAGGACTTGAATGTTAATCACAGCCGACACTCCAGTGCAGCACAATGGGAATGCTTTACTGTCAGATACACTTTCTAACAGATGAGACTTTATAAAGAAGTCCCATCTGCCCTCTTTGATGGAGAGAAAAATCCCATGTCACTATTTGAAAAAAATGAAGGAAGGTTTTCCCAGTTTTGTTGGCCAACGTTTATCCCTGATCTGATATCACTAAAAGTGATTGGTAGGGCTCAGTTCATTTCTGTTTATGAGTCCTTGCAGTATCTGAAGTAACAGCCTACAGTTTTCCTACATTACAACAATGGTTACTTCATGAGGGCTTAGTTCTGAAATGCTTTGGGTGTCTGTGATCGTTAAAGGCACAATATAACACAAGTATTTCCTTTCTTCTAAAGTACTGAACCAGGGAAGCATACTTGAAAATAATGTACCGCTTCATTTAACATTCAGTAGATTTCAGTATGCATCAGATGCCATACATTAACCTCTTCAACAAGTCACAAAATCAGATTTACAAGTGAGCAAGTAAAATGGTTTGATGAGCTATGAGTTAGTGTTCAGTTAGATAGTTTAATTCAATTAAGTTGAGACATAAATAAATGATTAATGAATGAATTATATATCATTAATTCTAATCAGTTATCGAATATCCTTTTCAATCTTTCCCTTGTTGAAATATATTCTTGAAGATCAATTTTATCCCTCCCCACCAGGCAGAAACAGGTCAGTGTGAAGGCATAAAGTTTACGTGACCTTTTTAGACTACTTTTGGCTTTTATTTTGCTGGTTCAGTAGTCGTTGGGAAGAGGCACTTTCTGAATTTTTCTTTACTCTCTCATGGATTGTGGGTGTCACTGGCTGGATGAACTAGATTTGATTAAGTCAATGATGCCGTGATAAAATTTTAATTGGGGTTTCGGTGGGCTAGTCAAGGGAAAGAGGTTGCTGGCTGGGCTGCAGACAAAAGAAGTTCTCCCAACGCAAACCTTTATCTTGTGACATCAGAAAGAGTAGGGATTTTCTTCAGGCCCCACAGGAAAGCCACATCTTCCCTGCCAAGATATCATTGCCACATCACCTCCTTTGCCATGACACCATAACAAACGTCCTCCCACTATTTAGTTGATTACTGGGGAGGCTTCACTTTGTTCTGACCACCTGAACTTCCTTTCGCACCCGCTAACCACCTGCTGTTTTCTGCTCAAGTTGACTAGCAGCTGATCAGTGACTTGTAAATGTGCTGGACTCAGCAAGTTAATTTTGCACTCACTCAACTCCCATCCACCTGAAACCAGCTTAGAATTAAATTCAACCACTTGGGGTTCTGTTAACTCTAATTAATGTTTCAAACCTTTCTCTATCTTTTTCATCATGTGTGATGCAAAGACATTTTTAAAAGAATGAATACATTATTTTTATACTTCCCAGTGCACTTTACAAATGTTTCTTTTGAGCCCATTGGCCACAGCTGATTTTTTTTACTGACACACACATTGTCATAAGTTAGATGTCACAGTGAGAGAGTGTTTTCTTGATGTATTTGAAACTTTTTCACAGAAGAAGCAGTCATGGTGTTTAAAGAAATCTTGGGTGGGGCACTGATTAATAGGTTATACCTGACATGGAGCATAGGGTCATTTTGTTCATGCTGTTAGACTGTAATATGTAATATTGAAATATTTTGTTTGTACATGTGGATTTAAATTTTCCAAAACTGTTTTTGTTCTTCTGGGCTGAGAACATACTCATACCTCCATTATAATTGGATCCAGCAATTGTTTTAAATGTCATTTATTTCAGGAGCATTCTATTTTCATAGCTGTGCTTGTAGGTATTCACAAATGTTACATGTTAAATGTGTGGAAATTATTTTGATGAAGGCATAACTATGTGCAGCTAAATTTGTTACGGTTTATCTATCATCTAACTATACAAATTTATTTTCACAGATGAATCCTCCATTCCATATATCATTGACCACCCCAAGAGGTCAGGAAACTGATTTAATACCTGTGGGAGGATCACATACTCATGTTATGGAAGAACATGAGAAGAATGCCAGTAGGACCAGTGAGTCATCAGTTAATCAGCAGAATGATGTAGAAGTTGAACATAATAAGTTTGCAAGTATAAATAACTATATGGTGAACGAAGTAAAGCAAGACAAAGAACCTGTGTGGATTGGGATTCTATTGGACAGTAACAAAGATACATCCAATTTGCCAACTCAGAGTCATGAGGAATGTGCAGCACTACAAACAGAGAGTGTTAATGTTGCAGCAAGCAATGGCAACAGAATGATCCAGTCTTCTACATTCTCTTATGATGAAGCAGATTTACATCATGAAAGCTGCCTTCCTGTCTCTCAGGTAAGAGATGAACTTGTTCCATCACATGGAAGTGATACATCAGCTAAATCTGGACTAGAATTGAATAATTTCTCAGGCAACAGCAGAGACAGTGTCTTTGCTAGTAATATGCAAGATAAGGTAATCATTCAGGGGGCTATTAATGAATGTGATAAGCTCCCTAATAATACACAAAATCCTATGCAGTTTCAACAAGAGAGCACAAGTGCTGCAAATGGAAGTGATGTATATGATTATTTAACTGACAACACAATAGCAAGTAGTGAATCAGAGTCCACTCTTGTCTGTGCAGTACGCACCAACACTGATTTGGAATCTGAGTCAGATAGAAAGAGTGCTACAGCTCCTGGTTCAATCTTATCAAAGGAAGAAAAGGTTTGCAGTGTAAAAGCAAGTGACACACAAGAACCACCCCAATATTACAGTAAAGCTGAGAAATTGGAAGATGTAAAGCATGGTAATGATTTTTCTGAGAAATCTAATTTAACAAACCAAGAAGCAGAAAATATGCAAGAGCAAATCTCAATTAAACAAGATCTCAAAGTTAGTGCAAAGGAGACATTCAGTGATCTTTTAGAAGTTACACAAATTGGAAAAGAAATGGTCATCAAATTTGAATTTGCTGCAAACAACCAAAGTTCTTGTGATGTGTGTTCAAATAACAAAATTGAAAAAGACACTGCAGGGATCATGGAATTCATGCAACATACAGATATGCACAGTGATTCGTGTAATGGGAAGTATCAAAATACAAGAAAGGAGTTTGGTACTTGTCTCCAGATCACACCTAGTAAACAGCTGGAATTTGCAAATATATCAAATAATGAGACTGCCATGATGCCTGCAGAAATCCCTAAGCTGCAGGGTTCTTTAGAAAAAGAAAAATACCAAGACTCTTGTGAAGTAGATAACATTCTGACACAATTACCAGAGACAAAATCAACAAAAGAGGATATTGTAAATGAGCAAAATAAAAATATAATTCCAGCCACACAAACTGTAGAGCTAAGCACGAGTGCTCCGTCATGTGTTTTAGTGGATACAGTGGTAAAAGAAGCAATAGAAGCAGCTTTGTTTGAAATTAGTGGAGATGAAGGAAGAAGTACAACATTTGTATCAGAAAAAGGGAGAGCCATCCAAAATTTGCCAAGTGAAGATCAATTTTCAATGTCAATTCAGAAGGCGTCCACATCTTTTCATTTAACATCAAAACATGAACAACCTTCCAAAATTCACGATACTCATGAACAAATTGCAAAAGATGCTTCACAGCTTCGTGAATATGTAACTGAAACAAATACAATGTGTGTACAAATGGGGAAGGATGCATGTGATGCTTCTCAGAAAAATACAGAAGAAATAGCTTCATCAATAAGTCTGCAAACAAAGACATCTGTACCAATTTCAGAAGACATAAAACCTCCAGATGTACCTTTTAATTATAGCCAATCTGTAGAAGTTGCAAACAATTTGACTGCAGATTTTCAAGTGGAGAATCAAAGTGAAGCCAAAATTGCAGCAGAAGTTGGGCAAGATGTTAGTAATTCAATGAAGGTGCTTCCTGATTTGCAGGAAGAAGCCGACGGAAGAATTTCTTGCAAAATCACTGATACAAGTGAGAGAATTATTGAAAATATTTTTGAATCTTTGGATCTTAAAATAACAGACAATTATGAAGTTAAACAGACACATCCAGAGGTTGTAAAGGAGTTGTCTAGTAATACTACTGAGCTCCCAGAAGAAAATGTACATTACAAAGAGAGGGAAAAGAATATAGACTTCACACAGAGATGTCATGTTTCAGAATTGGACTTTAAACAAAATTACAGTGCACCAGATCTTAAAGAGTCCATAGAGGTAGGAAAAACAGAACTTAAGGGAGAAGAGGCATCGAGCATAAAGAACATTTTGCAACACTATGGTGAAAAAAATGAACCCAGATCAATGGGAGTTACGCAATTACATAAATTTACTGATATGTCTAAAGCTACAAATGAAGTTGTGCCTGTTACTGGGCAGATTGTAGTAGAAGAAGCTGACCATGAAACCAGTATAAAGAATGAGGCAGTTAATAAGCAAAAATGTGGAACAGTCAATGAAGTTATTATGGACAGTGAAAGAGAAAGAGCATCAGTAGGTGCCCATTATCTGGAAAATATGGAAATGTGTCATGACACTCAACTGATGCAAGTAAATGAGAGCAAAAATCAAAATGCAGTAAGGCCTAAAAACATTGCAAAATTTGGTTCAAGCTCATACATTTCTAGCGATACAACAGAGAAGAAAATTGGAGCTGAAACTCCACCACAGAATTCTGAGCCGTGTAGCTATCACAAATATGTAGGTCCAGTCATATTGATTAGCAAACCAATTGAAGGGGATGAGGGAAAGGTGACAATCAGTGATATCTACAGTAATATCCATCCCTGTTCAGAAAGGTTAGAATTTGAGGAATGTAATGAGAAAATATTTGAGAATGAGCAGGCAGGTGAAGCTTATGATGGTAATGTTAAGAGTGAGGAATTACAGTTACAGAGTGAACCATTTGCAGATGAAGTTAATTTGAAAAACACAGTATGGAAAGCTTACTATTTTGTTTTATTCATTGTGTTTCTAGTTACTGTTTATCATTATGACTTTATAGGATGTTTTGCATTATATCTGTTTTCATTGTATTGGTTGTATTGTGAAGGAGAAACAAGCAATGATTCTGTCAAAAAGAAATGATGTAAGTAATAGTATCTTAATGAATGATGCGAGGAAAGGCAATGGTTGTATATATGAAGAACTGAAATTGGGTTTTGGAATTGTTAACCATTTGAGTACTGAAAGAACCATTGCTTTTCAGAATACATACATTGTTTGTTTCACACATCTACAAAATGATTACCCACGTCTACCAATATTACAAGGTAGAATTAATCACATTTTCAAAATACATAATATTTTATAATTTATAACATTCTTAGAATAAACCAAAATAGCCTTATTTTATTTTTATGATGCTAAACAATACTAGTTAACAGTTAATGTGACAACAATGCCATCAAAATGCCTTACTATAAGTTTTTAAAAAGTGCCTAGTTGAGAAAGCTTTACAGAAAATTGACTTTATGGCCTATTTTGTTCGTATAAAGTAATGTGATTGACATTTACTTTTTAAAGAAACTTTGGCTTAAAATATTCTTTGTGAAGTTCATATGACCATTTTATCTCTTATTTGAGTGCAGTTCAGATAATTTCAGACCAAATTTTTTTGTGCTGTAATAAATTTGTATAATAAACTAGGGTAACATCTACTAAATACTTCAAGTCATATAACTTTAGCCTGTTTTATAGTCAATGAGTGGAAATTTAGTTTGATCTTCTGAATGGTAAAGCATTAAAGTTGTTACAAATGATATAAAACACATATTTTATTTCTCCTGCCATTTTTAAACATGGTGTTTGTTAGTTAGTTCAGAATTGTCTTTTTGCCTGGTGCTACTCAAATGGCTTTCAGTTGTATGTGGAAAAATGAAGTAGAAGTTGTCTTGGAAGAAAGGGAGAAGCAAATCAGAAATAATAACTTTTTTTCATAATATCTATACGGCTATAAAAGATTATGCTGAAGAACACCTTCAAAAAAGTAATCTTTAAGTGTAAACATTGGGACAATATGATATCACTTGCTAAGATATATGTTTCTCATTTATTTAGACGCCTCACAGAATTTGAAATTTTCCTCATCCTGGAGAAGTTAATAATCAATTGTCTCTGGGTCTTTAAAAATTTTGTGCTATTAGTTGCTGTTTTTGTTATTTTCTTCACTTTGTTGTGCACTTGTTCTTTGGAGGAACACCTTCAGTTTTTACTTCCCTATTAGCAGATTGCCTATGCTGTATTGCACCCTCCAGAGAAGGTTTGTTATTTAGTACTTTTCTTCACTGCATCTGATGTATAATTTTGTTAATAAATATAGTTTCTTGCTACACCTTCAGCAATTATTTCTTCAGGCTTTATGTCTTGTTATGTAAAATATTGCCTCCCAGCTTCTCCACCATGTCACTTCTCTCCTTGCTTTCAGAAATGTTCTTAATGTTTCCTCATTTTTTCCTCTTATTTGAATATTTGTGAATGATATGGGGCATGGTGTCAGATACCATTATATTTGCCAATTACATATACATTCACATGGGCAGACAGTGCAGGAAATGAATAGAAAGTTCAGAGCTTTCCTTTTATTTGTTGCATCACTGAAAATGTGATAGATTGATTATGCATTTTAGAAAGGGCATCTGTGATCTGCCTTATGCAGCAATGCACAGCAAATTGACTAATGTTGCTAATGTCATCAGTTTCTACCTGGAATGTTCTGAAGGCATATTAAAAAAAAGGCACCACACTGACCTTTATAATAAAATACATATCCTGATGCTGCAAGAAATGACATCCTATCATAGCCTCATTAGTGAAGCAGAGTTTTGACCACATTGGTCCTCATTAAAGTTGAGGTAGGAAATTTGGTTACATACAGTTGTATGGCATAGATTACTTGCATGCCCCTCCTTCTACCAGCTGCACATCTTGGTTCTCTTCATTGCTGTTATGCTCAATAATCACTCAAACTGCTGTGGTGATAATGAGCTGCTTTTATTTCCAGACCTTCTGGACTATAACATCAAGGAATGTAAAAGTAACAAAGAGAAGACAGTGTAAATGCAACAGTGGCATTTATTAGTTGAATTAGGTGCTTCTCAGAAAATAATTATCTCCAAGGGTGAGCTTCGTTAACAGTTGCAAAGCATTAAGACATTCAGCAACCATAATAACACTGTAAAACTGTAATACCTTCCACTAACCAGGTGTTAGAAGGCATTTGTGAGGGCAGGGTTAGTGCTAGAGGTATTATCATCCTATTCGATAATAATGTTAGACAAATCAGACCCTAGAGTGGAACCTGGCCCTATAGACCATAAATTTTAATTTTCTTTTTATTTACTATTTGGGGATCAAGGGTTACAGAGAGAAAGCAGGAGAATGGCGTTGAGGAACTTATCGGCCATGATTGAATGGCGGAGCAGACTTGATGGGCCGAATGGCCTAATTTCTGCTCCTATGTCTTATGTCTTACTATGGAAATCCGTCACTGGTCAAATTCACAAGAGGCTGCCAATATACTTTTAACAAAAGAACAAAAGAACTATTTGATCAAACCCATTACAAATATAGAAAACAAAGATTTGTCCTTTTTATCGCAGCGATAACATTACAGATTCTAAACCTCAGTGAATTGTGACCAAGCTAAAGCTTCTTGCTCAATTGGCATGATAGTAATTTGTTTCTTTCTTAGTAATTTCTGGGCATAACTCGATGTTTTTTTCAATTAAAGCCTCTCCCTATGACCTATGAACAAGTTGCTAATTCAACTTACAATTACTATTAAACCTGAGTTCCTTAAACTCAAATCTTCAATTGTAGGATCTCCTCAATCTGACAATCTGCAGCTTTTTGCTTCTGGATAGTTCTTCTGAGCAACTCAGGAGTTCTCACCAGAGAAATTACTATTTCCTGTTCTGGATTCTGCAACTAAAGCACCTCTTCTGTTGTGAATATTTTTCTAAATGAAACTGTTTCTGGCATCACCCTTTCCTTCACCACCCTCCATCCACCTCATGATTCTTTTGATGTTGTATAACTCATGGCAGCAAACTCCTTAGCAATTAACTTCCATGAAGCTTGCTAAAATCATATACTTTCTTGGAAATGCTGTTTTCAACTCTCTATTCAAAGTTACTTGCTGAACTTACTTTAAAAAGTTGGATCTTTACAGTACTAAAAAGTCAAATCCATTTTTCTTCCACTTTAAAAGTTGCCAAATAACATATTATGATCTTTCATCACACAAGGTGCCCTCCTCCAAGTCTGTGAGGAATTCACTTGAATATGCACGGTGATCTCCCCATGTAGAAAAGAAGCAAGGGGCAGGAGGTCTTACTCACTGATCTAAGGGCCTCAATTGGCCCAATGGCAGGAGGACAATCTGCCACTTTCGCTGCCAATAGTGAATGCTAATGGTGATGGCTATTCAAATACACATCATTGCCATCCCACACGTTTTTTCACCCTTCCACCCCACCAACTCCCAGTACACTCATTGGGGCTCATCAAGACCCCAGGTTTATGTAAATAAAGTGTAAAATCAACTATATAAAGAAAGTCAAAACGTATAACATTTCACCATTGTACAGACTTCCTGTTTTGTTAGTGTTTTAAGGTTAAAATACTAAACAGAAAATATAGCAAACAAATGTATTGTAAACCTCTTGCTAATGCATGAAACTGGTCCCTAATGTGGATTTTCCCTCCTGCCTTGGGAATGGCACTGTGTATGGAGTAGTATCAACACACTTTCGAGCCACAGATTGATACATGATTGCCAAGGCATTATTCAAGATAACCACAATGAGTACAGGGGACTGAAATGTTACTAAATGGCTCTAAAAGACATGGGTTACAATGTTTTGTTGTTTCACTCCTTAGGGCAACTGTATAAGGATGTTAATGGATTAAGGTATTAACCATTTGCACAAGAAAGTATTACATACCACTTAAAAATCCATATTTTTAATATTCCCTACCACTTCCTTATGGTGATAAGATATGTTTTTCCATGCACAATATGTATGGAACAGTTCAAGTGGAGGATTATAGTTCCATCTGTATCTGAAACACGGGGAAGAGTTGAGCACACAGGCTGTGGCGGTACAATACAATTTTAGCAAATTCATTTTAAGATTTCAAATTTCGTTGTTTGATCTTTAATTAAATGTGTCAGAGACAGTGAAGCAATTAATACTTGGTAAAAACTGACATTAATTAAACTAAAAGGAGAATCTCAACAGCAAGAACAGAGGGCAGCAATGGAAGCAAGCATGGAACTGCTGCAGAAATTTTAGTACAATGTATGGACATAGACGATCAATTGTTAGCCCGACCTGATAAAAGAACTTGGAGGACATTTACAAGGAGCTGTGCTTGATTTATGCAAGGATATTTTTGCAGCAACGTTGAGAAGGTGAGCTTGTCATTGCTACACTTATGTTAGTTTTTTTTTGAAAATGACCACAGTGTACAACTTTTATGCCACTGGCTTTTACAGGCAGTCACTGGGGATTCTGCAAGCATCAGCTAGTTTGTCATGTGTAACACCATTAGTCAAGTTGTGGCTACATTGATCAGTCAGGCTGATCATCAGTTTTTCTTCTGTTTGATCTCAGGAGCAAAAGTAACTCAAAAAGCTATTACAACAAGGTGCAGGGCTGGATGAACACAGCAGGCCAAGCAGCATCTCTGCTCCTATGATGCTGCTTGGCCTGCTGTGTTCATCCAGCCCT